TTGGTTGAACCGAGGAGCAGAGAGCATCTTTTTGGGCGTCAGAAATGCTTTGGAGAAAGCGATCCCGAAAAATGAGAGCTCTCGCGGTGCAGTTGTTCTGATTGAACCTTAAAGTGACTTTCTGAACGACAACGAAAAGGGATAACGATATCCGGGAGCCGGGAGACCGGAGAGGAACGAAATTCAAGACGACCGTAGGGACAAATTGAAGGGCAGAAGTAGGAGGCGGACAACATTTTATAAATCAAATCGTATAACGAAGCATTCTCAAGGCCTTCCGTCAGACAATCGAAATCCGAAACCCGGCAAACGACCGGAGCGGTGTACTGTATCAGACAGTGACGAATGCGCGCACCGAAACGAAGCCGGAGGAACAGCGGAGAGCGACAGCAGAAAAATATTAGAGCTTGAAGATAAAGAAAAATATTGGATGATCAAGCGATAAGTTTCTAGAATGGAACGGATACCTCCGTGAGCTCGTCTGCAACCAGCTCGCTTATCGAAACAACGATACGGGGAAAGCAGTGGTTGACCGGGACGGTGAGAAAGAACCCACCGCTTCAATTTGGGGATTTTGTTTGCTTCACAGGATCTTCAGTTCTCGAAGCTCTCCGCGCGGTTTCCTTGAGGCGCGTTCGGGAAACGACATAGCAACTGAACAAGTCGATTTCCGTCGCGCGGATTGTAGTCAGTGTTTTTTTTCTCCAAACCTGTTCCCCCACGGGCATTAGGTGCGATCAAAGGCGGTCGAATTCTTTGGATTCAAGAATGACAGCAGAGCGACGGACAGTGTTCCGTACGATTCCTCCGAGTACGTCGTCACGGGAGTTGACGAAAGTCAAGTCCGGGGAAAATATCGGCGTAGTCGCCACTCGCCACTAATGGTCGAACAGAGGGTACAATGCGCCCTCAAGCAGGCTTTCGTATCACAGCTCTCGACAATTGGCTCGGGGTCAATCAAGCAATAAAACAATTAATCTCGCTCCCCGCTTATCAAGGAGCTCCTCGCCCCGACATTGCCAGCTCATCAATCGATCCAGACGCCGCGCCCGGGTCCAGGAGAGACGAGGGGTAACTTGACCAAGTTTACACTATCTCGCTTCCCGTGCTTTTGCTTCCGATACTAACCCACTCCCTTAGGCTCGCAGGACCCCGAACGATTCAACTCCACGACAGCATGAGTAGAATCTCACCCCCTGCTCTTAGATCGATAGATTCGCAGTCAAGAGCGAGACGAGATTGCGATGAACAACGTCCGTTTGGGAACTTTGGAATATTATCGGTGCTTCTCCGGAAACTCCTAGCATATGGACCAATCGAAAAACTTGACCGCGACACCTTCGTGGTACGATACGGCGCGGCGCTCAAATTATATCCCTTCCGAAAATCATGCTTCGCTTCGAGCCCGGCACGAGGAACGATGAGAACCAATTCGGGGAGAGCAAGGGTATCGAAAATGCGAGAAATGGAATGACGCTGACACTCAGCGGATGCATGGCGATCAAAAGCGATCGCGAGTTGAGATGCGTACGTGTGAGGTTCAAAGACAAGCCGGTCTTCACGCAGGTCGACGTCTTGGACTCCATCGAATTCCTTGACGGTACGGAAGCATCCTCCACCATTCAAGTGCCTAGCCCCACCGCGTCAGCTCACAGAAATCACCGGAACGGGTCGACCTATGACTTTCGGCACCATGCAGTTTCGAGCCACGCGGATACCTATCGCGGGGATCTTGAATAGAGAAGCATGACATATCTCATCTCCGAACGCTCAGAAATCATTCGGTCGCTCAGAAATAGTTGAATCCGTTCGAGGTCAGCAGACGGGTCCGGACGAGAACCACTCAGCAGTGCGGGTCGATCCCCATTCCTCCATCGAATTACAGGGACAATCCGCGGAAAAAAAGAAGAATGGCAGCGTCGCACACAAGTCGGAGCAACAGCATTTATCATGAGTCTCTCGAGAGCGAGAGATGAGGAATGTTGACGCTCCGAGTATTTCGCCATCGGGTGCCGCGGCGGACCGCGCAGACAGATAAATAGATGGCCAGATTTGGAGCCCGACCATAAAACTCAATTCCACTCATTTGGAGGTTCCTTTTCAATAGAGATCGCCAGTAATTTACCGGGACAGCCGGAAACACTCCGATTTCTCCAAACTTTAGACAGATGTCTTCCGCTCGACTATATATCATATCTGAGGCTCTGAAGTAGACGACCGGACTGTTTACAGGTTTCCCATCTCAGATCGCTCGGTGGAGAAAAAATACCCGGTCCGCCGGTGCTTCATCGCGGTTTCGGAGCATGGCGAGAATCACCTCTAATTATCGTTTCCGCGATGGTCGGAGCGCGATTCGACAGACAACCCCTTGGTGTCGACGGAACGATTGAGGGGAAGATCCCTAAAAACTACTCAAAGTGCTGCGCCGGCTCTTTCTGCACTAGGCTACTTAGACGCTGCGCAGTTCTATTAGGTCGGTCAATGGAGCGTGCTGTGTCTGAGAAAAGCGCGCCCTTGCTTCCCTCCCTACTCGAAGGCGGCTGCGGCGGCGGATCACCCTGAGACACAGAGTCGCGCGGCTCGAGAAGCTCGCGCAGTCGTCGGCGTGAGATCCAGACACGCACATGTGCAAGAATTCACACCTCTAACGCACATAAAGAATTTCGGGAGGGTACAAGCTTCATTTGCTGAACGCTCGTCCTTCCCTGCTAAAACACATTTTGCCGATTTCCCATCAATGTTCAATTATCTAAATTGTTCGTTGTCTTCATCAGAGGCTCACCGTCCTCCCCCCTCAATGACCGGAGGCTCACAGAAGCCTAGTGCCGGTCCCGAAGTTTTTTCTGGCGAAATGATGTGATACAGACCTGGGCTGGAGTTCTGATTGTGTGATAGGATTTCGCATGTCCAGCTTAATATCTATTGACCCCTCTCCCTGTCCCCCCTGTCCCATAGCCGGAGAGGGCCAGCCGGTATCTTTTTGAAGAACCTTTGGATAATTATTATCTATACGAAGCGCGTTTTGGTTGCAATCGTCCAGCTGACGGCTCCGGTACGTTTTTCCCTGAGCTCCAGTCGACTCATAGGCCGAGGATCCGATGATGACACAATGGGAGCGATTCGAGTGGCGGGTTTGTTTCCCAGTAGCAGAATGCGTGCAGCTGGGTTCGTGCCCAAGACCAGATGCTCTTGTGAGAGTCAGAGGTAGGGCGCGTGCGCACGAGAAGCAGAGACACATTGGTTTCTGTTCGAGTTTCTCGGCAGCCCGGGGGATGGGTAGGCTGCTAGACCGACCGACCGACCAGCCAGCCAGCCGGGAGTGAGTGGAGATGGCGTGATCGAGACGACCATCCAGCAGACAGCTCGGAAACGGGAGCAAACGATGTAATTTCATGCAGCATACATTTGTATGTGGTGGGCTTGAATCTCGGGGTGGGAGCTCACCGTGAAGCCCCGAATTTCTCACCGGACCGCTGGCTTGCCGCCTGGCTGACTGGTCGGCCACGGGATTTGCTTTGAATGTAAATATAGCCAGCAAGCCCTCCTCATTTCGCATGTGATAAGGGCAGGAAGATATGGGACACCGATGTCGATATGGAGCGACCGAGATTGGCAGGAGACTACCGACAAAGACATCGATGTCATTACCGGGGAGAGAGAGGATAGAACAGAATTTTCCGGCCTCAGTATCCCCGAATGTTCGGGCTCCGAACTCCATCCGATAGGGTTCACGGCATCAGACCCGATGATCGGATAGTTTGGGAACGCGGATCAGCAATCACGACCCATTCCCGATGTCTTAGACTTAGACCCTCGATAATAAGCATCTCAAGGCATCGCGCGCAGACTGGGCATGACCGTAGCGAATTCCCCGCTAAGGAGCTCAGCGATCGACAAACGAGTTGTTTGGGTCAATTCTCCCTCGGGGAATTGTCGGAGCGCACGCAAGTCATCGGGCCAAGCTGAGGGTCCTCAGACCCTGTGCGAAGCAACGGGAGTTCCGCGGAGATTTCCTTCGGAATTGCGTCCGTCCTCGCATCTTCCCGCTGGTTTGCGCTATACAGTATCCTAAGCTCTATCTCCATGGGGTGGGAATTCCTGCGCAGTCTCTCTGCTCGGAGAATTCCGCTGTGTCCTTTCAAATTATATGCGGTCGTAGTAGCCCTTCTTCGAACGCATTGATTATCTTCTGGAATTATGGAATAGGCTGCAAAGATGCAACAATGAGCAGAAACGAAAAGGTACATGTGACTAGGGCTCCCAAATACCCGCCAGTTTCGAAAACCGCGATTCTCGGGTACCCGAGAACCGTGGAGTCGGAACCGCGGGTAGAAACCGGAAAGAACCGAATTTTTCCTCCTCTGATTTGGGACTGATACCTGGCGAAACTGATCGAGAATTTTGAACCTACCCATTCTTCGGAGCCAACGGACTCTGTCGAATTAATTTTATTCCATCAGAAAGGTATATTTGCCGAGTTCAGTCTCCGTATTCGCGGTACGGTCCACGTCGGCCAGCAGCGAGAGC